ATGATGGCCACACCCACACCCACGCTCCACACCACACCCACACCCACGCTCCACACTGAATGATGGCCACACCCACACCCACGCTCCACACTGAATGATGGCCACACCCACCCACGCTCCACACTGAATGATGGCCACACCCACACCCACGCTCCACACTGAATGATGGCCACACCCACACCCACGCTCCACACTGAATGATGGCCACACCACACCCACGCTCCACACTGAATGATGGCCACACCCACACCCACGCTCCACACTGAATGATGGCCACACATGGCCACACCCACACCCACGCTCCACACTGAATGATGGCCACACCCACACCCACGCTCCACACTGAATGATGGCCACACCCACACCCACACCCACGCCTCCTGGCCTTAACATAACAAAGCAGATTTTCCATAAATCCGTCTAGAACATTTATGCATAAATTTGAATGATGTTACCGAAGAACTTTACCCGGTCAGAGCAGAGGAAAAAGGCCTTTAGTAACCTGTATAAATTATTAGAAATTTGTCATGTGTCACGTGTCATGTGTCACGTGTCATGTGTCACGTCACTTGACACCCCTAGGCGGTGGCATAATGAAATACGAAATAGCTTTTAGAAATACCAGTAATATTTGCTTTTAGAAATAATAATTTTTCCTTTAGAAATAACAATAATATTGATTTTAGAAATAACAAAAAACAAATAATACAAATAATTTCTAAAAACTTTTAGAAATAATACAAGAACTAAATATATTTTTGTTTGGTCATTCTAATGGAAAATATCTGATTTCTTAGCCAATATTTTTGTTTGCAAAGAAACTCCTTCGTCTTGGCCAAACATAATTCTGAATTCTAGATATTAGAAAACAAATAATTGTTTAGTTATAACAGAATGAAAAGAGGGAAGGAATTATCAGAGGGGGGAAAGCGCTAGGCCATTACGACTATATAGCACTGGGAAGGGGTCAGGATAAGGTCCATCTGGTCACCACTTGGTCCGGGAGACATCTCCCGTCACGCAGGGTGCAGTCGCGCCTCCACAGATCTCCAGTATCAGCTCTTGATACTGGTAATGGCTCAAAAGGGCCACCACTTACGGGCTATTCATGCCCGTGCCACCTCTTGGGTGGCTTAATCTTCATCAATCAATCATCAGGATAAGGATTTGGGATGGGACGGAGGGAAGGGAATGGTGCCCAACCACTTGTGGATGGGACGGGGGGGGCGCTCTCTCAGTGTCTACAGTGCCAGAAACCGCTCAAGCTGTTTAAAGATATGTAATTATTATTTTGTAAATGAATTTGGATTGAAATTTTAAATATCTTTTTTTATATATATAACGTTAGTGATAAGCAATGGACGAAAATTTTGTTTTAATTTAATAAAAGATCTAAATTGGATGTTCTACAGCAATAAATAAAATTGAAGCTAGCTACATATATATATATATATATCAAATGAAAACTCACACCCCAGAAGTGACTCGAACCCATACTCCCAGAAGCAACGCAACTGGTTGCGTTGCGTTGCTTCTGGGAGTATGGGTTCGAGTCACTTCTGGGGTGTGAGTTTTCAGTTGCATATGTCCTGGGGACCATTCAGGCTTGTTCGCATATATATATATATATATATATATATATATATATATATATCTATATATATATATATATATATATATATATATATATGATATATATATATATATATATATATATATATATATATATATATATATATATATATATATATATATATAACTTCTGAAAAGGTCGTCAGCGTCCAACAACAAAAATTATTTCGAGACTTAGACATTATAAGAAGCTAAATATATTCAGAGGTAAGACAAAAAATGGGTGATTTTAATCAAGTCTGAGTTTTGTATAATCTAACACCACTCAAAATATTGGTATTAAAAGGGAAGGCAAACAATTTCAGTCAAACGAAGCAAGATGGCAGTTGTTTAATTGAATAGTGAATACACGGAGCAATTATCAGGGGAAAGCACCAAGTCATTACGTACGGGAGACATCTCCCGTCACGCAGGGTGCAGTCGCACCTCCACAGATCTCCAGTATCATCTATTGATACTGGTAATGGCTCAAAAGAGCCACCACTTACGGGCTATTCATGCCCGTGCCACCTTTTGGGTGGATTAATCTTCATCAATCAATCAATCAGTCATTACGTCATTAGCACTGGGAAGGGGTCAGGATAAGAATTTGGGATAGGACGGGGGGAAGGAATGGTGGCCAACCACTTGTAGACGGTTGGGGATTGAACACTGACCTGCATGAAGCGAGACCGTCGCTCTACCGTCCACCCCAAGTGGTTGGGCGTGAATACACGGAACAGCTTACCAAATGATGCAGTTTAGTTTAATATCATTTAATAATTTAAAAAAAATATATATATACATTATTTGACAATTATTTTTCTTTACATTTACATCACATTTGATTTGTAACAACTGAAGCGTTGTTTGGTCTGTCAATTTTGTAAGTCCTTGACAATGGCCTTGACGGCTGAGTGGACACCACTCGGGATTCGTAGTCTTAAGGTTCCGGGTTCGATCCCCGGCGGAGGCGGAAACAAATGGGTAGAGTTTCTTTCACCCTGATCACCTAGCAGTAAATAGGTACCTGGGAGTTAGACAGCTGCTACGGGCTGCTTCCTGGGGGATGTGTAACAAAAAAGGAGGCCTGGTCGAGGACCGGGCCGCGGGGACGCTAAGCCCCGAAATCATCTCAAGATAACCTACCCGTTCACCAAATTTGAATACTTTAGTCATCCCCCCCTCGCTATTCTTCCCTTTTCTTAAGAATATAAATTTTCTTGATTTGTTTGTAGAAAAAGAGGTTCAGAGTTCCTTTGATTAACATCTTCATTCTTCTCTCCATTCTTTACAGTAAATTTGTATCATTCTATGTTTTTTATTATTATTTTTTTAATGTGTTCAAACGAAAGAGTATAATCTAAATGGAGTCTAAATGGAACAATGTGAAGATGAAAAAATAACATTGAATACCATTTTAACTAACGAATTTTAATATGGAACATTTATACATTTTTTTAAGGTTTTAAATAACATAAGATCATTACTAATATCAAGTTTAATACTAATCATAGTTTCCTATTAATCCATAATTGACGTTTCCTACTTCAATTATCTTATATAACCACTGAATTGGATATTACAAAAGGGTCCTAACACCTGCAAAATCCGAAAGAGGACTTACTGAAACATATATTAAAACGATTGGGATAGAATTCGAACAAAATAAAGGATTGTATGTGTGTGTATTATTAGTGCTGATGACAGTGTAATTAGTGCTGATGACAGTGTAATTAGTGCTGATGACAGTGTAATTAGTGCTGATGACAGTGTAATTAGTGCTGATGACAGTGTAATTAGTGCTGATGACAGTGTAATTAGTGCTGATGACAGTGTAATTAGTGCTGATGACAGTGTAATTAGTGCTGATGACAGTGTAATTAGTGCTGATGACAGTGTAATTAGTGCTGATGACAGTGTAATTAGTGCTGATGCATGCTGTGAGGCATAGACAATCATTGTATTCACGTTCATTGTATTCACGTGTGAGTATTCACTCATGATGAGTGAAGCCGGCTGGCCGGCGTGAATGAAGACTTAGCTTAATTTACCCATCTCCTCCGGTCTCTTTCCATTCTACATTCGGCCAATATTCGATGTATATTAATGATGTATATATAACGATGTATATTAATAACTAAGTAACTTACTCATTCACTCATTATTCCCCAACAAGTTCTCGCTCTCTTACCATATGAGGTATGTCGCAGGATATATATATGATAACAGAAGCCGCAGCCTCACGATAGCAGAAGGCATGAGACAGAAATTACATCACGATATTCAAAGTTTTCGCACAATAACATTAGGCTTCATTTGTTTCAAGCTTACGCTAGTATGTTCAATGAAAGTTTTCTCACAACAGCTGTAGCAGCATAATAGAGGTGGTGTGAGAATACAAGTAATTGAAAGATAGCAATGACGTACGATAGCAGTACTCAGTAAGGGTGAGCGTGGATGTGTGTGAAATCTTATCAGAGATATATTGCACCAGGATATCATCTTACGCTATGTGTGTGTATGCTCACCTATTTGTGCTTGCAGGATCGAGTATTGACTCTTGGAGCCCGCCTTTCTAGTGAGAGTGTGTGTGTGTGCGTGTGTGCGTGTGTGCGTGTGTGCGTGTGTGTGTGTGTGTGTGTGTGTGTGTGTGTGTGTGTGTGTGTGTGTGTGTGTGTGTGTGTGTGTGTGTGTGTGTGTGTGTGTACACAGCTTCACCCCTGTGGGTCAAGTTTGAACGCGTCACAGCGTGCAGGGCCGTCACACTAACCCTGAATTAACATGATGGGGATATATGCATTTTACCTGCCTCCCTAATCAGCAGATTCCTTGTTATCGCGTCGCAGTTAAAAACGCCAGTGAAACCTCTTAAAAACTCCGGCTGACGGAACTCCCCCTTTGGCACTTGCGTTCTCTTTGTGTCTCTACCTTCACCTGAGCGACGAAGGTTGTGTGGTGTTTCTGGTTGACGATAAGACAGGAGAATGCAGTGTGTGTGTGGGTTAAGGAGGGTGAGGGAGAGAGAAAGAGATGACGTGTGCCCCATCTCGCGTCTGTCTTGCCACTGCAGGTCTCGGCCAGTGGAGAGCGAGTGACAGAGGACTGCGCGCCATCTATTGAGCGCCAGCCTCAACTCCCTCCCTCCTCTGCGTTCTTTCCCCATAAGGTGAGCGTTCACACTCCATTATCAGGAATGTCGAGGATTGTCTTACTCAGTGAGAAAAGTACGGGATTTCCTCACCGAGTAACCCCTGGTGAGTTGCCTCGTACGTATTTTACGATGCCTCTCACTTTATGAATGGGCCAGGTTAGGCCCCTCCCACTCTGCGCACAGCTCCTGCGCATAGTGACGTCAGGGCGCCTGAGTTTAAATACAAGAGAACACGTGAGAGCTCAGTTGTAACTAGCCTATTCGTCCAGACAACATTGAGAGAATATATTTGAAGCCAAAGGCGCATAGCTTCTCTGTGATTTATATTTATTGTACAAGTGAGTGTTGAGTGAGAATATAGAAAATAAGCAAAATGAGTTCGTATGACGATATGTGCGTGTTAGCGGACTCGTCGCTGATTGCTCGTGTCTGTACCGTAACTCTCACTACCTCAACTAAGAGAAAGAAGCCCTTATGGAGAACTATCGGTAAGTAGTGATAGTAAACCTCCTATCGCCTGCGATAGGAGGATTTGTGCATATATATAAACTGTGCCGTGTAGTTTTAAGCTTGTTAGAAGTTCTTGATGGAAGTACATAGCAGCAGACCTATAGAAATAGACATCTTACAGTGAACTCGTTTAACTATGTGTTTTTGAGTGCTTCCAGTTACGGATAAACAGTCAGTGGGTATTACCAGTTTAATGGTAGTTACATTGTGCACAGGAAATGTTTATTAATTGTAGTCTCGAAATGTTTATAGAATTGTATATTTCAGCCGTTGAATATAATTTGTTTTTGTTAATTTCAAGCTTATTTTTTGAGGGGGAGATATTAAAAAATACAAAAAAAACGTTTATAATTTGAGTAACAGAAAGGGTTTGTGGAGTTCCTGGAGTGACGTAATCCTGGGGTGAAGCAGCGCTGTCAAGGGCACATCAGCTGTGTTGTCAAGCAACGTTTGTGACGACACCTGCTCTTAGGGAGTCTCGAAGCACAAACGTTTATTTTTCCGTCGCCCCTAAATCAACAACAAACGTTTTTTTTTTATAGTGAATTTTATTTCATCAAGCTTAAACAAAACAATGTTTTGTCGATCAATTATCTCGTGTTACAAACGTTTGTTGATATTTTATCATTTGAAAGAGAGCAAACGTTTGTTTGCTAATATATTAGCACTGTTTTAAACATTTGTTGATGAACATAATGGTACGGTTTTAAACGTTGTTAATGAACATAATAGCACGGTTTTAAACGTTTCTTGATGAAGAGATTAGCACGGTTTTAAACGTTTGTTGATGAACGTATTAACACGGTTTTAAACGTTTGTTGATGAACAGATTAACACGGTTTGAAACGTTTGTTGATGGAAAAATGAGTATGGTTCTAAACATTGTTTTATATAGTAGTAGCATAACCAATTAATTGGTAACGAGTGGGAGTTTAGCGAGAACTGATTGGTCTACGCTTCTCTTAGACAATGCTATGCTAAATATTGACGTGACTGAGACTTGCGTAAGGCGTAAGAGAGTCGCGGAATGCGTCAGACTCCCTCTAATGCGTGTAAGGAAGGGAGAGCAGTAGGAGTGAGAGAAAATGGGAAGCCTGTTGCAGTAATGTACTCATCTTGTAGTTGCTGTATTCGCCTAGTACTTGTACTCGCCTAGTACTTGTACTCGCCTAGTAGCTTGCCGGGGTTGAGATTCGGCTCTCTAATGTGGTGCAGGAGGTCAATCAATCACCACGGTTTCATAGTCGCGACGAAACAGCTGTATCTATTTTTGGTACGAGAATTTGAGACCTGTGAGGGGGGGGGGGTCGGGAACGTTGAGAAGACATTGACGTGATTGGTTAATGTCGCTCTCAGGAACGTTTAATGGTTTGTTTACATAACGAAGTGAGGGTTGCTAAGGAAACGTTTGCAGGTGGTTAGTATAGATATATATAATATAGGTTCAAGTATGTTTATTTGAGATAATAAAATACATCTCAAAGGGATAGAGTAGCTTAGGCTATTTTTACTTCCCCTCTATTAGCTAAAAAGTTTACCAACGTCTGTTAGTTGAATTTGAATGGACTCTTGGGGGTGGGGAGTTTACAATTGCTTGACAGCCTATGAAAGCTGAAAGGGATATGTTGACCAAACCACACACTAGAAAGTGAAGGGACGACGACGTTTCGGTCCATCTTGGACCATTCTCAAGTCGATTGTGTGACAATCGACTTGAGAATGGTCCAGGACGGACCGAAACGTCGTCGTCCTTTCATTTTCTAGTGTGTGTGGTTTGGTCAACATATTTCAGCCACATTATTGTGACTCCTCGTCTGCACTGAAAGGGATAGAAAGGAATTAAGCTTATGAAAGATTAAGAGCAATGAACCTCTCACGAAAGGTATAAAGAAAGGAGAGAAAGCAAAGCCTAGTCATAAACAAGAACATAAAGTTGAAAATATATAGTGTTGAAATGATCCTGTGTGACATAGAACTCAAACAATGGAATTAAATTAAAATAATTTAGTTTCTTAAAAGGGATTAAGGCCGACATTAGTTCAATAATGCAATTGAAGATGAGAGTATTTGAAGTAGAAATGGGATAGACTGATAACTAATTATAGAATTATTGAAGTGTAATAGGACAGTGGCTTCACTGTCTCGAGTAGATTGATTGATTGATGAAGATTAAGCCACCCAAGAGGTGGCACGGGCATGAATAGCCCGTAAGTGGTGGCCCTTTCGAGCCATTACCAGTATCAAAAGATGATACTGGAGATCTGTAGAGGCGCAACTGCACCCTGCGTGACGGGAGATGTCTCCCGGACCAAATGGTGACAAATGGTCTGTGTGTGTCTCGAGTACCTATCATGTTGAGTGGCTTCACAGGTAACCATACACATGTGTTTTATGTACATATGTCAAGTGGGAGAAATGGTGGTTGTGTAAAAAAAGTACATGCCTATTTGAGTTGTGTAAGAGAGTGAAGAATAGGTCTAAGTTTTTTTTTTCAAAAAGGTGAATAGAAGCGAGATTTAGGAGAGGAGCTCGGCTATGAAACGTTTTGCGGGGGAAGGGGGGGGGGGGATAGGGGGATGGGGGGGTGATTGGGGGGGGTGATGGGGGGGGAGTCTGCTGCCTGTCTCATTCTGCTGTGAGCTAATCTCAAGCGGTCTGCCGTCTTGTGTTTTATTTGAGTTCACTTTAATAATACTGGAGCGTGCGTGGTTTTTTTCTTGTGTGTTTTTTTTCTGTTTTATAAGAGTATTATCTTACTTGTTTACCCGTGGAGAGTGTCGCTCTGTGTATCTTACATAACTTCCGTGAGGTTTGTGATAAAGAGAACCTCAGTACAATCTTTTATTCATTTCACTGGGTACAAGTTTTAGAACTGTCGGTATCAACTTTATTTTTTTTATTGTTTATAAACCCCAGCCTTAGGCCCCGCCCCCCCTCTTGAGTGATTGTGTGGGGCACAGAACCACATGATCAGCGTTCACCTAGACATCGCCACACACATATATATATATATATATATATATATATATATATATATATATATATATATATATATATATAATATACACATACACACACACCTCTACCCCTATAACAGTTTCAACAACGTGTTGACGGCGGGCTGATCTCGGTCAATATCATGTTGCCTTATCTTGTCAAGACTGTGGTCGGCCAGTAAAATATAATGCAGAGATTATAAACAAACAAAAATATATTCTAACATACCCCTCCCCCCCCCCCACTGCACGTGGAAGAATTGGGGGTCAGTACCGTGGGTATGGGGGGGTTGGGGGGGGTTGGATGGGTTAAAAGTGTGGGGGGGGGGGGTGGATGGGTTAAAAGTGTGGGGGGGGGGGTTGGATGGGTTAAAAGGTGGGGGGGGGGTTGGAGGGGTGGGGGGGGGGGGGTGAGGGTTTGGTTAGGCCTAAGTACCTCTTCTACAGCACACACATGTTTCATCGTCCTGAGGGTAGAGAGCATTTTTGTTTTTTCAATCATTTCAACGCACAAAGCCATTACGACTATATAACACTTGGAAGGGATCAGGATAGGGATTTGGGATGGGGCAGGGTGGGGGGGGGGGGGGTTGGGGGGATTTGGGGGAATGGTGACCAACCACTTGTGGACGGTCGGGGATTGAACGCCGACCTGCATGAAGCGAGAGCGTCGCTCTACTGCAAGTGGTTGGACAGAGTGAAATAGGATGGCAATATATGGAAGGTCACACCCCCCTTTTATGTGTGAATTGCCATTATTGGTGCGTGGGTGGCCATGGGTGTGGACGCAGGCGCGTCGCGTCGCCATGATGGCAAGTGGCAGGCAGGTAAGGCAATTTAGAGGAGGCGTCCAGGTGTTGGTGTACCTCAGGTGTCCTCATCAGCCTCAGACACAAAATCATCAACAACTCATCCCCCCTTACACACAGAAATCACAATAGAGTGATGCATCAAATGAACAATTCCACAAGGGCCGTGACGAGGATTCGAACCAACGTCCGAGAGCATCCCAGACGCTGCCTTCATCGACTGAGCTACGACATGGTCATGGTTACCCATCCCCCCTCTCCGTCCCCCCCTCTTCTACATCATCCCAATCCTAACGCACCTTGCAAGCGACTGCAGGAAAGGGAGGGTTATAAACAGGCAATGTTTCACGTCGTAATATATACAAGTTTCAGGGGGATTGTGGACCTGAGACATTTTTGGGCGTCTGAAAGTCATAACGGTCGAAAGGTTGTGAGACCAGTACCGGTTTGGCTACGAGGAGGAGCAGGTGAAGCTCCCCAGTACAATTATCAACCTGCAAGGTGCCTCCACTAAGCTTTGTTTCACCTCCGATGAAATACCTTTTCCCCCCTCACTTCCTTACCCACACGCAAGCCTAGCCTCCCTCCAGAGCCCTCCTTGTGTTTACTGGATAATAAATATTATTAACCTGCATCAAAATTCTTGATTGGCAATAGCCAGCGTGGTGATTAGGTTCAGTGGATGAGGCTTTTTGCCCGCCCGCACTGTAGTATCCTCCTCGCCCATATATTTAACATTTTTACCCAAGGTGACCTGTTGGTGTTTTGCATGGTCAGTTGGCTGCGGGAGAGTAGCGTATGTGGAGGTTGTTGTTGGTGGTGTTGGTGTTGTTGGTGGTGATGGGGCTGGTGTTGGTGATGATGGGGCTGTTGTTGGTGGTGTTGTTGTTGATGATGGGGCTGTTGTTAGTGGTGTTGGTGTTGTTGTTGATGATGGGGCTGTTGTTAGTGGTGTTGGTGTTGTTGTTGATGATGGGGCTGTTGTTAGTGGTGGTGGGGCTGTTGTTGGTGATGATGGGGCTGTTGTTGGTGATGGTGGGGCTGTTGTTGGTGGTGGTGGGGCTGTTGTTGGTGATGATGGGGCTGTTGTTGGTGATGATGGGGCTGTTGTTGGTGGTGGTGGGGCTGTTGTTGGTGGTGTTGGTGTTGTTGTTGGTGATGGGGCTGTTGTTA